AAGTGCACAAATCATAAGTTTCCAGCTTAATGAATTTTCACAAAGTGAAAATGCCCATATAATGAGCACTCAGATCAAAAAACAGGGCAATAGCAGCCCCGTGTGTGCCCCCTTGCGGTCACTATCTTCCCTCCAAGGTAAACACTAAGTAACTTGTAACATCATGGATTTTCTTTCTTTTTTTTTGCCTCTGATTGAATTTTTGTAAAAGCAGCATACAGTATATGCTCTTTTGTGTCTGTCTGCTTTCATTCCGTATTGTTTGTGAGAGTCATTCATATTGTAGCATTTAGTTTGGGTTCGTTCATTCTTATTGCTGTGTGATGAAAGGAGCCCTAGTGGTGCAATGGGTAAGCACTGGGCTGCTAACAAAAAAATTGGCTGTTGAAACCCACTCAGAGGCTCCCATAAAGATTATAGCTTAGAAAACCCTATAAGGCAGTTCTACTCTGTCACATGGGATAACGACCCTATAGCACAGAGTAGAACTGCCCCACAGGGTTTCCAAGGAACAGCTGATGGATTGAAACTGCTGACCTTTTGGTTAGCAGCCAAGCTCTTAGCCACTGTGTCACTAGGGCTCCCATTAATAAATTGTTTTTAGGTGCCGTTGAGTCATTTCCAACTCATAGGGACCCTATGTACAACAGAACAAAACACTGCCCAGTCCTGTGCCATCCTCACAATTGTTGCTATGCTTGAGCCCACTGTTGCAGCCACTGAGTCAATCCATCTCATTGAGAGGCTTCCTCTTTTCCGATGACCCTGTACTTTACCAAGCATGACGTCCTTCTCCAGGGACTAATGTCTCCTGATAACATGTCCAAAGTATGTGAGACGTAGTCTCGTCATCCTTGCTTCTAAGGAGCATTCTGGTTGTACTTCTTCTGAGACAGATTTGTTCATTCTTCTGGCAGTCCATAGTATATTCAATATTCTTTGCCAACACCGCAATTCAAAGGCGTCAGTTCTTCAGTCTTCCTTATTCATTGTCCAGCTTTCGCATGCATATGAGGCAATTGAAAATACCATGGTTTGGGTCAGGCGCACCTTAGTCCTCAAGGTGACATCTTTGCTTTTCAACACTTTAAAGAGGTCTTTTGCAGCAGATTTGCCCAATGCAATGTGTCTTTTAATTTCTTGACTGCTGCTTGCATGGGTGTTAATTCTGGATCCAAGTAAAATGAAATCCTTGACAACTTCAATCTTTTCTCCATTAACTGTTTGCATCACCCAGGGATGCTGTTTCAAAATTAGTAATACAAGTAGGTAAAATTTGAGCCCTTATGATGTGTCCAAAACAATGCTATGCACTTCACAGATGTAATACTTTGTTAGAAAAATATATTTGTAATTAATAGTCTATTCTGTCCATACCTCTGCCTTCTCAAAAAATTTAAGTCCTTAATTATCCCTTATCTCTTTTTTTTTTTTAAATCTTTCCTTTTTTACTGGAGCCTTCATATCAGCTTTTGAACAAGTTCAAGTCTTTTCTGGCTTAGAAAATAAAACAAAAATGACCTCTCTTCACTTTATTTTCTCATCTGGCTATCACTAATATCATGTTCCTTATCTTTACAGTACAATTTCTGTAAAGAGTTGTCCATATTGTCTGTCTCAATTTTCTAACCCCTCATTCACTCCTCAACCCATTTGTGGAGATGGGCTGCCCAGATCCTCTTCAAGTAAGGACTTGTTGCCCAGCTGAGAGGAGTGGGGTTCACAAGTAGCTCCCAGTTGTCTGCTCCTTCAGGGTTTGCCCCAGCTGCAGAATCAACTTGTATGAGTGATGTTATCCCCTTCCGAGGGTAGCCCACATATGATGATGAGCAAGGTGGGATAAAAAGTCCTGGGCATTTTGGCCTGATAGTGGATCACTCTGATGGGCAGCATTTACTCCCGAGGTCCCCACCTGGTTTGCTGAAGCTTTATCAAACCTCTCAGTTCAACTTCTACCTCTGCTTAATCCTGCTTCCTTCCCTTCCTTTCACAGATGCTATTTTCTAACCCCAAATTTGATCTCACATCTGCTTTCAGAGAATCCAACAGTTGACACCATTGTAATCAGCTTTGTCTCAACTGTTCCAGTGAATCTAAGTTCACCAGTGATCTACATGTTGGTGTAATCCAGACATTCTGGAGTCAATGAAGCCGTATGAATCTAGAAAATATTGCCTTGATATAATCTTTAAACCTTAAACCAAAAATATTCCCTGAAGTCTTCTTTAAACCAAACAATAGTTCAGCTTAATTAGGAAAGAATGTCTGCCTTAGGCATTGTGCTCTTTTAAAAAACTGTATGGGATCAAATTGACAACAGCAACTCGAAAGGTTAGATAGGAAGCTCAGGGGGCAGTGAGTTTATGTTAGTGCTGGAGGACAATTCAAAAAGGAAGGCAAGAATGGTTGAAATGTAATCAATATCACTGAATTGTATACGTAGAAATTGTTGAATTGGCGTATGCTTTGCTGTGTATATTTTCAACAATAATTGAAAAAAAGTTGATTTACATGTTGATAAATCCATTAGGCATTTATTAGCCATCAATTTACTTAATCTCTTACAGAATTTGAAAGACTAAGAAAAAATTACAAAGGCAGCTCACAGGATTAACACATTCCTTGCAGACTTATCATTCACTTATTCTTTTATTATCAAAATACAATGAAAGGCTTCTAGGTGCCAAAAACCATGTAAAGTATAGGAATAGAAGCACAGGTAACACAGGGCCCTTGCTTCCTGGGAGCTCTGTTTAATGATGTTTCATTCTATATGGGGAATGAAAGAGCAGAAGCAGAGTGACTCCCCGGTTCCTGGTTTGAGGAGGAATAATTGGTTTAAGGAGGAAAGAGGATGAATTCAGTTTTGAATCTCATGACTGAGAGGTACTTGTGGGATATAGACATAGAGATGACCTTAAAATAATTGCAGCAGACACCAACTTGGAGTAAGGTGAAGAGTGAATTAACTTGAGAATACGGCAAATGGTGAATAGGGACCAGAGGTTCCCAAATCTGGGCATCAAACTCATATTTAGAGTTAATTAAAAATGTATTCCAAAGTTCCTTCCTCAGAGATTCTGATTCAATTGATCTGAGGAGGAAGACGTGTATTTTTACAAACTCTTCAGCTGTACTGTGTTCACTACAAATCTCCTAGAAAGCAGACACCCAGATGGAGTGAAACATATAAGAATTTTATTCAGAAAAACACAAGTGTGAAGGAAATGGGGAGGGAGCCAGAGAAGACTGGGGGAGCCATCAGACTATAATGCATGTCTCATGCCAATGAAGAAGAGATGGAGGGATGGTTGGCAGAAGCTTCCCAGAGAGTAGTGTGGAGTAAGGTAGTTCGGCAAGGTTGTCAGGGAGTCCTCAAACCAAAGTTGGCCATCAGAAGGGTTCTGATCTTCCAGGAACAGGCCTGCCTTAGTATCCCTGCAGTGCTAATCACAGGCTGGGGGCAGCCTTCGGGAAGCGTGACCTTGGCTCAAATGTGCTGATGGATTTCAGAGTGCAGTGCCTGTGGCCTTTGGTTAATGAAGCTCCCCATAGTTGGAGGACTGCAAGGCAAATTCTCTTGACTGCTACCTGTACCCTACCATTTTAAGACAAGCGGGTGAGAAATGGAAGATAGATATGGGCTGTAGTTAGAGAGGTATCTGGGTTCAAGGCAAAGTTTTGCCTTATTTACCTAAAAGGAAAATCTTCAGCATGTTTGTAAGTCTAGAGGAAGGAATTTGCACAATGGAAGAAGTTAAAGATAAAGGAGTACAAGGAGAGAAAAGAAAGGCAGAGGGAGGAGGAGAGGACAGAAGACGGAGAGGGGAGAGAAAGGAAGGGAGAGAAAGAGGGAAGGAGAGAGTAAAAATGAGTGAATGAATGAATTGTGAAGGAAGACTTCAGAGGAGGCAGGAAGAAATGAGGTCAAGCATTCTGACTTTGAATTGGAGGAGTGACAATTTATTCTCCGGGATAGTGTCTGGATATGGGTTAAGGCTGAAAGTTGTAGGGAACTCCATTTGGTCATCTCAATTTCTATCACAAAATAGGAAGCAGAGATATTGGGACACTGATGGAAGGTTTGGCCTTGAACAGGCAGTACCCCATCCTCTCAGACTGAAGCAAAAAGCAGTAAGGATGGGTGCAGAGAAAGACTTTTGTAGATATGGGATCAAGCTAAGGAAGAGAAAGGCAGATGGCCTCAATTTTTTTTTTGTTTTTTTGATGAAGTAGCTGAAGATATTTATTTGTAGTTATTCTCTTATGACAATTTCCATACATAAAACTATAACAGAAATAATATTTAGGGTCTTCAAATTAGTATTTCAAATATGTTTTAAGTTAAGACGATCATCTATTACATAAATCTCTCATAGGTATGTGTAGTCTGTTTCTTAGTATAAACCAAAACTCTAAAATTTTCTCTTGATTTAATTTAGAATTACTAAAACTGACATGGTATTGAATTTATGCTATTCTCAGAAAAAAAAATTACTGGAAATACACTGTCAGTATATTATGTATATTTGCTGTCAATTTAACAAACAACACTTTTGTTCATGTAATTTTATCTAGTATTAGAAGAAATACAGGCATATACTCATTTGCTCATCAAAAAGTAGACATAAAAGTATTTTGTAATTGGAGGGGACCTTTGAAATCAGTGATTTCTAATCTGGGGGTCTCAGGCCCCCAGAATCTATAAATTAAGCAATCGCAGTTGATAAGCTATTTTCAAATTTCAGAGTACCTAATGGAAATCCCACTTTATTCATATGAAGGCTTTGAGTTTCTTTACAACTATTTGAATTACTTCAAATCAGTGGACACCAATGGGCCTTTGCAGTATTAGAAGCACCAATGGGCCTTTGCAATATTAAAACATGGGTAATGCATTATTTAATCAATACATTTAAAAAAAAAAGACAAAAGATTCTGAAACATGGGATGGAGGGAGAATTATAAAAGTTTGAGGTAATTGGTAGTGAAAAAGTTGGGAAAAAGTTAAGACTAATCATGTAATTTAAAGATGAAGAAACTGAGAGGATCAATAATTTACCCAATATCACAACATAATTCATCAGTAGTGGAGCCAGCAGTAGGATTTGCTCATTTTATATTTTGGAAGTTGTAAGAAAAAATTACCTAATACACTATTTTCTTGGGTGTTAGGGTTTTGCATTTCATATCATGGCATTTAGTGTTCTTAGTATTTAAAACCCAAATTTTTCACGTTTTGTTTTTGAGTTACTTTGGGAATGAGTATACCTCAATAGGGAACATCCATAGTCCAGAACATTGAGATATATTAACTTGTACTCTTTATGCTGGCCAACTTTCCAGTCAAATGGTTAAAAAACAAAACAAAACAAAACTTCCGTAGAGGTAATTTGGAAAAAAAAAAAAAAGCAAACCTTTAAGAGTCTTCATAGTAATGATGTACCATAAAAGGCTAGTTAATTTCAAGGTCCATTCTTCCATTTTTCATAATTTTAGGGTAGCCCTCATTCATATCTACTCTAGTTACAACAGTACTTTAAACAGAGTACAGAATTAAACTGTTCGCATATGAATCTGCTAAAACAAAACTTAGACTATTCTACAGTTTTATCTTAGATGTACCTACTTAATGTATAACATTCTTATCAAATAGTTAACATATATTCAAAATTGACAAATAGGGACAAACTTCATACAAAAGGTCTGCTACTACTATAATTTAAAAAAACCCACAGGCAGGAGAGAAGACAGCTCTATCTTTTTAAAGGTTGATAATTTGTATAGTAGAGAATATAGGATACTACCATAATTAGAGGTGTAAACAGTAGCTTTCCTTCTTGGGGAATATTTTAAAATTTCCTTCCTTATATTTCTTTCTTTTTCTTCCATATATTTCTTTGGACAGGACAATCATTGCTTCTCAAATGATTTCGTTTCTGTTTGAAGAAGGTTGGGTAATTATCAACTGATGATCCAAAAGAAGTGCCTTCATGACTGTAGCCAAGGCAGAAATGGGATATTTAATAATTCTTATATTTCATTAATGCAGTCTTCTGAGATGTTTATTAAGCAGAAGAGATCACTTTCTAAGTCCAAAATTTCAAAACTTTATAGTCAGAATTTAATAACAAATGGTAATAAGTAGATTTGGGCATTCATTTTCTATGATACCCAATAATATGCCAGTTAAAACCCAGACTTCATTTTGGCATATAATGAACATAGTAGAATCATCAGATAAGAATGCTAGTCATTGTCATAGATGCAATCTGAAAGAAAAAAAATACAAATTTAAAGACAGTTTTAACAAATTTAACATAGTTATATAAATCACATACACTCTAAGTGTTCCAAGGTTGGAAATGTGGGTGAGTACTTACATACTCTCCTGATTTCAGTATAAAAGAAGTACAACTCATTCACTTTAAGACGAACTAGTTAAGTGGAAGGTGATACCCACTTTTCCAAAGTTCACTTTCTGCCACTTCACTTTTATGAAAGACCTCCATTAGTACCTGTTTTTGCTAAGCGAAATAAGTCCAAAGAGAATCTTCCCTTTTATGAAAAAAGGTGAAAAGCAAAAATAGCGTTCAGCGTTTGTTTTGCAGTGAGCCGTTAAATAGGCAGCGTGCACCCCAGCAGTGAGAGTGCTGTCGCCAAGCTCCTTCCCAAGAACACCACTCAGCATCTCTGCATAAAGTGGATATAGCTTTGAACTGTATTTGTGAGCATCTACACTTTATCTCGATTTATTTGGTATGAATTGATAAGTTATTTTTGGGGTCTAGGAACGCTCAAAATTTTTTTCTATATACATTAATGGTAATTGCTTCTTTGCTTTACGCTCTTTACGCCATTTTGGCTTGCAAAAGGTTTCATAGGCATGCTCTACTTTCACATGGCGGGGAGACCTTTCATTGTTGAGTGTACACTTTTAACAAAGTTTCTGCACAGATTTAGTCTATGTCAAAATGATGATTATTTTATTTTATCTTACGTTTAATTAAATGTAATTTGGGGTAGTTATTCTTAGTGAGGTTGAAAATATTAAATATTAGCAAGAATCCTAAATTTAAAAAGAGATTAAAAGGCCTCATTATTAACACTATGCTTTTTTTCAGCTGAGATAATTTTTTAGAGCATAATTTAGAAATGTACTATATGATGCTAAGAGGATACTAGTTAATACCACAGGCACACACATTTTTGTGGATAAAAGAAGAAAAATTCTTACAAGATTCATGGTACAATGAAAAACTCATCATCTATTTCAATACTTCTGTTTTCAAAGTAAAGAAATGAGTTTGTTTCTTGTTTTCCAGTCCTGTGTGAAATGGTTTTTCTTTCCATTATTATCAGGGCATTTAGCTTTCCTAAGATTTCCAAGTCATTCAAATTCTGATCAATTTGGAAGGCTTTAATCAATCCAACAAGGTATTTTTAGTATTTGTGAAAACAAATTAGTGACTTCACTGCTACGGTTCTCTGTGGTGGCTGTCATATGAGACTTACCATCAGCAATATCATCATAGATCTCGCCGTCACTGTAAATGTAGAAAATGATCTTTAAAGAAAATATCTTCTTAACATTAAAAGAATATATAGATGAAAAGAGTAATAATGTGATTTTACATAACAGAATTAAGGCAATTAAAGGTGAGAAGTTATATGTGATGCATTTATAAGTGAAAAAAAATATCATATTCATCTGTATCTCTTCTTTCATTAGGTTAATCTAATCTTCTCTTTCCTGCTAAAACAAACCCATGTCTTATTCATCTTTAGACCTTAGTATGGACCTGGCACACAGCTGTGCTCGGTAAGAAGTGTTTGTTGGACTGAACTAACTGAATGCCAATCATGGTGCAATACCCTATTGGGGGCCTTAATCCAAAACTGTAACAATTTCTTTACATACATTGATAGAAGATTTATACTTCCAACTGAACTTCAGATGTTGAATTAAATACAATAGTATTTGGCATAAGAAATGGCTGCATCATTCTCACATTTCCAATTATATACACATCAATTCTAAAAGGCATAGATAACAATAACTATATTAGTAGCCAAGATATGGATCTTATGATGACATTTATGCTATGTAATTCTAAAAATATTATTTATGATTATAGGCAGCATCCATTATAGTAGTTTTAGCTACTTTAACATATTTTAGATTTTACTTGGCCCTCCGTGTTTGTGACACATTCTACTCAACAAACATATGGAGTCCCTCTTATGTAATATGCACATATAGGGAGATATAAATATGAATAAACCACAGGCTATGATTTCAAGCAGTTTATAATCTAATGGGATAGAGAGTGACATCTTATATAAGCAATTAAAATTGAAAGTATTATAAATATTAACATAGCCTTGAACTTTATGATAGAGTTTAAAATTCAGAAATGTAAGGAGGCTTTGTCCTTTAGACCAGACACACTTTTGGTTCCTGTACTATCTTTGAGCTTTTATTAAGAAGCCAGCAGCAGGCCATTCAAAGTGCTGCTAGTTATACCAGATGCTATGAGTTCCCTATGTCTTCTATTTTGATCTTTTCTCTGAGATTAAGGGAGGATTTGGCTAATGGAAATTTTATACAAATGCATTCATTCAATGGACACTTATTAAGTATTCAACTGGTGGTGAGCCAATATTACTTGGAGTATACTTTTTAAATGATAGCTTAATCATCTTGCAATAAATCATTGATGAAGATCTTGTCCCATTATTTGCCACACATGCTTTACTTGAAATTTGTATCATTCATGGAACAAAACCTATTAAAAATTCCTATGCCTACCATCATGTTTCTTTGGGAAACAAAAATATTATGATATTTTCCCTTTGAATCTACTAGTTTGCTTTCAGAGCACTTACCAACATTGATCTTTTTGACTGGTGTCAGCATGTCAATGGATATATTGTTTAGGAATCCTGAATGATTCTTTCATTATGCTGATTTTTGTCAGTTGGCATATGACGTAATCTTTGAGTTCATTTCTAAAACTGACTTATGTGTAAGAGAATCTTACAATGTTTCAGGGACTTCAATATACACTGGTACCAGACTGTGACAACGCCTCATTCATAAGAATAGAAGAATCATTGACTACTATCTTTTCTGGCATACTTCCAAAAAAGGCAACTTACTACACTACTATGCTTGGTGTAAGTGGAGAAAAGCCCTCAGTTAGGGATCAAACCATAAACTGTTAACAGGAGAGATTAGCACCTACTGTGTAGACACTAATTGTTCCCTGATTAATTCAATTCCACCAACTGCATTAATCAGCAAGTGAAATGCAAAGTGTTAATGAAAGTATTATGGCTTTGACCTGTCTACAATATTTGCTGAGTGGAGAGCCCAACAGATATTAAAACTATGAAAACTGTATAATCATAAATGGAAGGGGCTTCTTGTCTCTTTAAAAGAGTGGCACTTTATGAAAACCTAAACTTTATTATGAGTACTAGCATACTGACATTAATATAGCATATTGTTTTAAAATGTATTCTAGATGTTGTTGTTGTTGTTATGTGCCGTTGAGTCGATTCTGACTCATAGCGACCCCATAGGACAGAGTCGAACTGCCCCATATGGTTTCCAAGGAGTGACTGGTGGAGTCGAACTGCTGACCTTTTGGTTAGCAGCTCAGCTCTTAACCATTGTGCTACTAGGTTTCCTATATTCTAGATAGTTCAGTAAATTATATTATTTAAACTATATTAGGAATTACTAAGGAAAAGCACAAAATTCTTTTTACAAGTACTGTATTAGAAGAAAATGAACTTACACGTCCACCAAATAACACCGAAGGACATAACCATCTATGAAGGAAAGAGGAAACAAATTATATTAATATACAGGATAACACACAGGATAAAATACCATCTATGAAGGAAAAAGAAAATAAATTATATTAATATATAGGATTGAAATATCTTTAATATTTCTTTCAAGAACTGAAATATAAAGATATTGAAGCTATCTCTGGGTATGATCCATTTTTCTTCTTTGTATCCATTTTTCTCTCTTTCTTCTATTCTAACTTTTATCTCCTCCTACATGTGTCTTTTTACTTCCATTTTGCAGTTTCCTTTGTTTCTCACTTAAGGAAAACAACAATAACAACAAAACTTTCTTCTCTAAGCTACTGCAAGTCACAGCACAGGGTTCTTTCAAATTTTAATCTATTTCTTCAAGATGTTACTCACATGACCCAGTTGTAAGAAGAATTAAATAAGAGTTTCCTCCAAGTCCCTGGATTGTGCAAATGGTTAAGTGCATAACTATTAGCCAAAAGTTGATGGTTCAAACCTACCCAGAGGCACCTTGGAAGACAGGCCTGGCTATCTGCTTTCAAGAACTGTACACATGGGGTCACCATGATTCAGAATCGACTCGACTGCAACTGGTTTGGTGTTTGCTTTTTAGTTTTGCCCATTACAAAAGTAGTTTATAGGTATTTAATATACCACCAGACCTAATACTTACCTTGTCCAATTTCCAATTACTAGAAAGTAATTAAAGATATACATAAGAAGAAAGATCTCTAATAAAGGAAAACGCATGGACGAGTATTAGAACTAGTAACAAGGTATTCATGCTTCATAATTCTAAATGTTTTCTTCTTTATGTTTTTTTAATTACAAACATATAAAAATCAAAGACAAAATTATGTTACAGGGCACACAAAATATAAAGATGTAATTAGTGACAACAACAAAAAAGGGGGAGGAGAGTAATGATATAGATATAGAATTTCTTGTATGTTACTGAAGTTGGTACCAAGTTATCCTAGAATGTTATATATACAAGCTGTTAAATGTAATAGTCATGGTAACCACCAAGAAAATATATTAAAAAAATACACAAAAGGAAAGGAGAAGGGAATCAAAAAGGCTCACTACAATAAACCAGCAAAACACAAAAGCAAGAAGCAGTAAAGCACAAATACAAAGAAGGCTTAAGACACACAAAAAACACATAACTAAATGGCAGAAGTAAGTCACTTCTTATCAGTAATTACAGTGAATATAAATAGACAAAATAGGCAGAGGTGGTAGAATGGATTAAAAAAACATGATCCAACTAAATGCTGTTTATAAGAGACACACTTTAAACTCAAGGACACAAACAGGAGAGCTGGGGTGGTAATCTTAATACCAGACAAAGTAGACTTTAAGACAAAATCTGTTAGAAGAGATAAAGATGGACATTATACAGTGATAAAAGGATCAATTAATCAAGAAGATTTAACAATCATAAGTAATATGCACTCAACATTGGGGCACCTAAATATATAAAGCAAACACTGATAGAATTGAAGCAAGAAATAGTACTAAATAATAGTTGAAGACTTCAATACACCAATTTCAATATTGGACAGAACATCTAGAAAAAAGATCAACAAGGAAACAGAGGACCTGAATGACACTGTAAACCAACTAGACCTAACACACATATATAGAACATTCTACCTCAAACAGCACAATATAATTCTATACCAGTACACATGGATCATTCTCCAGGATAGACCACATATTAGGTCACAAAGCAAGTTCTGATACATTTAAAAAGACTGAAATCATACAAAGTATCTTCTCTGATCACAATGGAGTGAAGCTAGAAATCATAACAGAAAAAAAAAAACCTTGGAAAATACACAAACATATGGAAATTAAACAACGCACTACTAAGCTACCAATGGGTCAAGGAAGAAATCACAAATTTCTTAGAGTCAAATGAAAATGAAAGCACAACATACCAAAACTTACAGGATGCAGCAAAGGCTGCTCATAGGGAAACACAGCAATAAAATGCCTACATAAAAAGAGAGGAAAGATCTCAAATTAACAGCCTAACCTGACAATTCCAGGAACTAGAAAGAGAAGAGCAAACTAAACCTAAACCTACCAGAAGAAAGGAAATAACGAAGATCAGAGCAGGCAGAAATAAAATCCAAAACAGAAAATCAATAGAATCAATAAAACCAGAAGTTGGTTCTTTGAAAAGATCAATAAAATTGACAAACCTTTAGCTAGACTGACAAAGAAAAATAGAGAAAAGATGCAAATAACCAAAATAAGAAATGAAAGAGGGGCCATTACAACTAACCCGATAAAAATAAAGAGAATTATGACAGAATATTATGAACAACTGTGTGGCAACAAACTAGATAACCAAGATAAAACAGACAAATTCTTAGAAGCACACAACCTACTCAAACTGACTCAAGGGGAAATAGAAAGTCTTAACAGACCCATAACAAGTGAAGAGATTGTATCAGTGATCAACCTCCATTTTGTGATTGTAATTTCCTGTGTGTTGTAAATCCTAATCTCTGCCTGTGGTTCATAAGGCAAGATAAAGAGGATTGGGGTGGGATTGTCACACCCTTACTAAGGTCACATCCCTGATCCAATGCAAAGGAAGTTTCCCTAGGGTGTGGCCTGCACAATCTTTTATCTTACAAGAGGTAAAAGGAAAGGGAAGTGAGCAGAGAGTGGGGGACCTCATACCATCAAGAAAGAAGCAGAGCATGTCCTTTGGCCCCAGGATTCCTGTGCAGAGAAGCTCCTAGTCCAGGGGAAGATTGATGACAAGGATCTTCCTCCAGAGCTGACAGAGAAAGCCTTCCCCTGGAGCTGACACTCTGAATTTGGACTTCTAGCCTACTAGACTGTGAGAGAATAAACTTCTGTTTGTTGAAGCCATCCACTTGTGGTATTTCTGTTATAGCAGCACTAGATGACTAAGACACCCTTTCTTGATGAAAGCCTTAAAGAAGATTGGAATAGAAGAAAAATTCCTCAGTATGATTCAGGGCATATAGAAAAGCCAACAGCCAACATTAGAAAGGCTGAGGGCTTTCCCCTTGATACTGGGAACAAGAAAAGGGTGTCCGCTTACACAACTTCTATTCAGTATTGTATTAGGGGTCCTAGCCAGAGCAATAAGACAATAAAAAGAAAAAAAAAAAAAGGTATCCAGATTGGAAAAGAAGAAGTAAAATTATCTCTACTTGTGGATGACACGATCCTATATATAGAAAATCCCAAAGAGTCCACAAGAAAACTTCTAGAGTTAATAGAGGAATTTAAAAGTTTTAGGGTACCAGGTCAACAAACAAAAATCAGCTGGGTTTCTATATACTAGCAATGAGAAATATGAAAGGGAAAGTAGAGAAAAATTCCATTTACAATAGCATCTAAGAGAATAAAATACCTAAGAATAAATTTAACCAGGGATGTGAAAAACTTATACAATGAAAACTATAAAACACTACTGAAATAAATGGAAAGACGTTTTGTGTTGATCTATTGGAAAACTTATATCATACTACCCAAAGCAATCTACAGGTTGAACGCAACCTCAATCTTACAGAAACAGAAAAACCAATCCTCAATTTTATATGGAATGGCAAGAGGCCCTGAGTAGCTAAAGCAATGTTGAAAGAAAAGAAAGAAGTAGGAGGACTCACATTTCTTGATTTTAAAACATACTATATGTCTACAGTAATCAAAACAGCATGATACTGGTATAACAATAGGCACGTAGACCAGTGAAATAGAATTAAGAGTCCAGAATTAAACTCACACATCTATGGTCAACTAATTTTTTACAAGGGTGCTAAGTCCATTCTATGAGGAAAGAAGAGTCTCTTCAATAAATGGTGCTGGGAAAATGAGATTTCCAAGAGAAATGAAACAGGATCCATGCCTCACACCATACACAAAAACAAATTCAAAACAGATTAAGGACCTAACTGTGTGAACTAAAACCATAAAATTCTTAGAAGAAAATGCAGGGGTAACACTATCAGGCCTAGCTTTTAACAATGGGTTATCAAATATAATAACTAAAGCACTAACAGCAAAAGACAATAAATTTGACCTCATAAAAATTAAAAACTTTTGTTCATCAATAGACTTTACCAAAAAAAGTGAAAAAACAGCCTACCAACTGGGAGAATATCTTATGAAAACCATATATCTGATAAGAATCTAATAACCAAAATACATATATAAAACTTTGACAACTTAACAATGGAAAGACAACCCAATCATAAAATGGGAAAAGGACTTGACTAGACATTTCACCAAAGAGTGCATTCAGCGACCACCAAACACAAGAAGAGATGCTCAGTGTCATTAGGCATCAGAGAGATGCAAATCAACACCACAATGAGACCCCATTTCACTCCTACTAGGATGGCTGGGGAAAAAAAAAAATGAAAATAACAAATGTTGGTGAGGATGTAGGGAAATTGAAACCCTTATCCACTGCTGGTGGGAATGCAAAATGGTACAGCCATTGTGGAAAATAGTGTGGCGATTCCTCAAAAAGCTAAAAATATGATCCAGCAATTTCACTCCTAGGTACAGACCCAAAACACTTGAAAGCAGAGACTCAAACAGAGACTTGTACACTAATGTTCATTGCAGCCCTATACATAATAGCCAAAAGGTAGAAACAACTTAATGTCCCTCAATAGATAAACAGATAAACAAAATGTGGTACATACATACAATGGAATACTACTTAGCCAGTTGGAGAAATGAAGTCTTGATATATGCCAAAATATGAATGGCACTGGAAGACATTGTGCTGAGTGAAATAAGTCAGTCACAAAAGGACAAATATTCTATAACATCACTCATACAATAAGACAAGAAAAGGCAAATGTGTAGAGAACAAAGTTTATTAGTGATTACCAGAGGTGAGAGGGAGCGGGGAAAGGAGGCTAACAGTGATGGAAATATTGCATTGTTTATGGGTAGGGTTGAACAGCTGAGTGATGTAACTGCTGTCAATAGGTTGTACA